TCTCTGATGCTGAGATCTCATCATCAGAATTCCAAGTTCTGCATTTTTGTTAAAAAAGAGTTTGATCCGATGTGCGCAGAGAAGAAACACTTGAAATGTGTGACCCAAAAGGTTCGAGTAACAAGGGGCAAGTGGATGTGAATAAAAATATCATTTTAGAAATTCATGATTTYCAAGCTTATGTAAGTACTTTTGTATGCAATGCCTCTCAGGTTGAGGTTTCTTTTTTTCTTAACATACAGATTAGACAGGGAGGGAAATCTTTGCTGTAGGGTCAAAATGGGCCGCATTGAAATTTCTTTGTTGAAAGTGCTGTGGAACTGCTGACCTTACAAAAATGTGCATGGAAAGCAACACAAGACCTGGGGCAGTTAGAGGTGATCTGGCTTTTGACATTTGCTAATGCAGAGGGATTAAAAGACGGCATCAAAGCCAGCGAGAATCTAAGGAAGAGTCACAGTCTCTTCTCAGGAGACCAGAGGACAAAGGCAGGCCCAAGAAGTCACACAGCACACAGCAGGGAATTTTTCTGAGGTTCAATATGGGGAAGTACAAGTGAAATGGGCCAAACCAAATGCAAGCCAAACCAAAATGTTTCTGAAAGACGTCTGCAACTTTCAGACAGGCCATACTGAACAATGAATATAGATGGGTTTGAACTCCAGTGACATCGTTTTTTTTCTTTTTGTAATTTTCCTTTTGCCAGAGGAGCTTTTGGCAAAGAAGACTTTTCTCCAGAARAAAGATGCTGCAGTTGGCTTTTTGACAGCAAATTTTTCAGTACTAATGAAGGAGACTCACTTTAATTTGACTGCACAGAATTACTCACTGACACCTCTCTTACTTTCTTTTCTTGTGCCCTRTGTTGACATTAGTATATAGCCCCAAAACCCTGTGCAACTGCAGATACTTTCCCTACTCAAGCAATTTCTGCAGGAAAAAACAACCCCATTCACTGTTTGAAACAAACAAATGTACACAGATAAATAAATATACACACCTTGTAAAGAACAACTGTTTTTCCTGTGGCTCAATTTCATCAATCCAAATATGGAAAAGCAATGATAAAAATTCATCCGCTATATTACAAGATGAAGGTATGAGATCTGGCTGGTTCATTGGTATGAGATCTGGCTGGTTTGATTATAAAAAGTAAAATGCAGTGTGTAGTTGTTAATGGACATGTTTATGGCCACAAGTTGGTATAGCTCAATCTTTTTTGAGAACATACGGATTTGATGAAGACCTATTTTGGGCAGGATGCCCCATTCTTTTAGGACTTGTTTTTCTTGTGTTCCAATGGCTGATTAATTGCTGGGGTTTTTTTCTGTCTGTGCCTATGCCTTTCTGAGAATTTTTCCTTTGTTTTGTTGAACGGAAAAAGCCTCAAAAGCGTAAGCAGAGTTACAGCATCCAGTTGGACTGGAATACATAGTTAGAAGTTCCAGAAAGAGAAAAATGTCCTTTTTTTAACCAATGCTATAGTCAAATTGGAAAAAAACCTGCAAGGAAAATCAGCTGCAGCTGAAAGAAACAAAGTGCAAAGAGCATGAAATATGTTTTTGCTGGTTTTGATATCCTGTGAGGATAATAATAGGTCACACCTAGATGACATTGAAACATGGTCCAAGGGACAGGAAGGTATTTCATTAGTAGAAAAAAGAGACCTCTGGCAGGTTGATTGTGACACACAGATCTGTTTTTTAAAAGCCTGTTCAGACCCTCTTAGGACAGCCTTTGGACAGCGCATGGCCTGTTCAGATTACGACAGGTTAATAAGGATACTGAACAGGACCAGCACTTTGCTGGAGATAATTGTGCATTAGCTGGAAGTGGGGATTGTTTTGTTTCATCACGTTGAAATGAACTCTGTAGCAGAGCATTACCACTCCACTCTACTGAAAGTAAATATTTCRGCATTTATATTAGCTGTCAGCTGTGGAGAGTGGGAGGAGTGGAGAAAAGCCAGGACCCAGCATTGGCTCTGGAAGGAGGAAATTTCAGCTCCTCCTTATCTTGATGGGCAAAGATGCAGCTTGGTTCTGCTGCGTTGGATTATCCRAGCTCCAGATTCCACTAAGCTTCTTGAGCTTGGCTCAGCAAAGATTGCCAGGCTGCTCCTGCAGTTTGGGATGCAGTTCTGCAGGAAGATTGAAGACATAAGTAGCAGTGCTTTAGGTCTGTGAATCTACCCAGGATAAATGTGTTAGAGTGTGGGAGAGCAGACAGTCTTCACTGGAAGCCCATTAGTGAGGAACAGTTTTGACTCCTCTTGCTCTTATACCAAAATGCATACACAGAAGCACCTTGGAGAGTCCTTTCCATATGCAGCTAATAGAAAGTATTGGGGGAATTAGGTGTCAAATTAGCTATTGATCGCCTCTTAGTGACTTTATAGGCCTATTTCAAGGACAAATTTTCTATAGGCTTCACTGACTTTCCTAAAACTTCTAGTGGCACGAAGATTCTACACATGTACATCAGAATCCAGAGCACTTCCTGCCAGATAAGTCTCTTAAGGCAAGATGTGTCTGAGTTTCCACCATAGATGGTGGTCCAAGTAATGGTGTACCTGTCAGAGAAGGCAGTTTTGCACATTTGATTATTTACCTTGTCATTGCTGATGGTTTGCTCAAGCCATAGCTAATCTTCTCTGAGTTGACATCCTGACACCTCAATCTGATCCTTTTGAGCACCTCAAGGATAGGATGAAGAGCTGCAAATCACCTGCAGCCATTGCCCTTAGGTGTGAGATCAAGCATATCCTGGTGACAGATTCCCAGGCAGCAGAGCTCWGGGACAGTATTGGTCTGATGGCTGGTTTCTGGGTCATAAGGAGAGAAGTTACAGTGGCACAGGCAGAGTCCTTCCACTGACTTTGTGAGCTTTGTCTCTGCCTCAGAGAGCCGAATTTGTGCAGTGGTGTGAAAGCATCTTCATTCTGTGTTTGATAGGAGAGCCTGACAGCTTAATTATACTGTGATAAGAGCAAAGCTCTTAGAAACAAAATTGTGTATCCTATGTGTTATGATTGTGACAAAAAATACTTACAACCRAATTAGTTTAGTGAGGCAGATATAAATTAAGCTCCTTCTAGTCTTCACACTTATCGAAATTAGGAAGTTAAAGACAGGCTATCTGAGCTACTATACTGATAAAATAAGATTTATCATTCCTCCCTGCAATATGCTTAAAATCTTGACAGTTATTTCARTGGGACAAGTAATTTTTCTCTCTGTATCAGCATGACCCTCTGGGAAACAGTGGGAGGTGCATTATATGCCAGTTGAAAGTGGAATACAAAACAAAAATCCATAAACACAAGGCATTGCAACTTTTTACTGTGGTTATTACAAGGACCATAAATGCTGGCTCTGAGGATTCCTTTTCACATTGGTTTTTCCTGTTGACATCTCTTTACTTACTGTCTCAATCTCTTGTTAAGTGTGAGATGTGCAGGGTGCCTCAACATTCTGGTTACCATATTTAGGTAACTCAAGGCTTTGTATTCARTGTGATAGCACTGCTCTCACTACTGGCAGTGCAACAGCCTTTGAAACGTGTCCAATCCCTCCACAGCATTTTGGGGAAGGCTGCAGTTAGCAAAGACAGCAAAAGCCTCATCATTTTTTTGCTGCTTCCTTTCCCAATAGGGATGAAGCTGTGCTTTTTCAAGAGGGATGAAGCCAGGATGTGGTGCTGTGCAGTAAAAGTTTCCTTGGCTCTCTGTAGCAAAAGACACCCRTTCTTGAGCATGTGGGCAGAGTTGTTAAGAGATGTGCCAGGTTCTCAGCTTCTTCAGTGGTGAAATGAGGACCAGCTTGACACAGCCTCGCCACTCTCAGCTGTTTTATTGCTATAATTTGGCACAGGCAAGCAAAACAAGGTTGGGCATGGAGACCTAATACCTGCTGCATCCWGTGGGAGTCACACGCCCCACTAGCACAGGTGGACTGCTTACAAGAGTTTTCACAAGCTGTTCAACCTGGTACACTGAGTAAATACACACATACCTTAAATAAATATACTCTTTCCTTCCACACAAAGCCCCCAGAGCATTCACACTCCTACATGAGCACTTACAGAGGAAACAGCACTATCCCTATAATTGTCCACATCAAAATCTGTTTATTTAGAGCAGTTGCTTATTTTTCAGCTGGAGAWACCAAAAGCCACGTAGCAGAGAATTGCCACAGCATTAACAACCGAAGAGTGGCCATCACCAGCATTATTTTTATTGCTTTTCCAATGCACTGAGGCTGCCTTTTTTACAAGCAGCGTAACCAAAGAGCCAGAATTCTCTTTATTTGCCATCAAACAAGCCTGCAGGGAAGAGCACTGCTCCCAGTGCCTCAGAAAGCTTGGGGAAGGCATTGTGGTCACTGGTTGTTACAGATGAGGTAGCTAAAAACACATCTCCATACCCCCCTCTATCCTGTGGTATTTTTTCTTTTAGAAATGCCTACATTTGTCAGTACTTTATATAAGCTTTTGACTGTAGGRGTGGTGTGTTAATAAATGCTCACTGGAATATAAAATATGTACTGTATTTAGTAAATAATGGATGATATGTAACTGCAAGCATATCCCTTAAAATGMTGTAGGTGTTCAGGAGTCATTAGTAATCAATTTATTATTGATCAGGAAAGGAAGGAAAGATCACATATTTATTACAATCCATGAATCCTGTATTAATCCTTTTAAAAAGGTGTTAAAGCCTTGGTTAGAAGTGAAGTGTGAGCCACTGGCCAGTAASCTCTCTGGCCACAGCTGGTAAGATCACCCCAAGTTGTTGGCAGCATTGCTGACCTGTCATGCAGCCAAACACAGAGCCTCTGGTTTTAGTACCTCTCAGCAGCTGTGACTTTAGTTTGGTACCTCGCAGTTTGTAGCAATTTCACRTGGTGTTTTCCTTTTAGAGCTGACACTCTCTGTTTCCTTGTTTCACTCCCTGACTAAATCTCTTTCTTTCCCTTTTTATGTTTCCTGCTCCTCCCCAGGGTGAGTGCTCACGAAAGTGCTATGACATCTTTGTGCTGGAGACAGTGTGCGTGGCGTGGTTTTCCTTTGAGTTCCTGCTGCGATCCATCCAAGCAGAAAATAAGTGTGCTTTCCTGAAAACCCCKCTCAACATCATCGACATCCTGGCCATCCTGCCTTTCTACATCTCTCTCATCGTGGACGTGGTTTCCGCAAAAAACAGCAGCAAGCCCGGCGGGGGAGCCGGGAACAAGTACCTGGAGCGGGTGGGGCTGGTGCTGCGCTTCCTGCGGGCGCTGCGCATCCTGTACGTGATGCGGCTGGCGCGGCACTCGCTGGGGCTGCAGACGCTGGGGCTCACCGTGCGCCGCTGCACCCGCGAGTTCGGGCTGCTGCTGCTCTTCCTCTGCGTGGCCATGGCCCTCTTCTCGCCGCTGGTGTACCTGGCTGAGAGCGAACTGGGAGCCAAGCAAGAGTTCACCAGCGTCCCCACCAGCTACTGGTGGGCTGTGATCTCCATGACGACTGTCGGCTATGGGGACATGGTGCCTCGTAGCATCCCCGGACAGGTGGTGGCCCTGAGCAGTATCTTGAGTGGGATTTTGCTGATGGCTTTCCCAGTCACATCCATCTTCCATACCTTTTCCCGTTCCTACAGCGAGCTGAAGGAGCAGCAGCAGCGAGTAGCCAGCAGACAGGTACGCCAGCGGCAGGAGAACCCTGAGCTCCTGGCTGATGACAGTACGAGGGGACTCARTGCCACATTGCCACCAAGTGCTGCTGGGCGGGACGGTCTGCTCTTGGTGGGCCAGTAAGCCAAGGGCAGTTCTTGACCCTGAACAGCTGAGGACATACATTGGCAGCACAAGAAGCAGTGGACAAGGGAGGTTAGTTCTGCAAGAACCCTGTGAACTGCATAAATGAGGGGCAGACACACACAAGGTTGTCTCTAAAGACCAACTTCTGATCTTAAGGGGCCTCTGAAAAGCACTCCTAGAAACTCTAAATACAGCTCTGCTCCATTGCTTTTCTTAGGGCTTTTCTCTTGAGCAGGTATTTTGGGTACAGCCAAGGAGCAGCCATTGAAAGTAGCCAGCCAGCAGAATGTAATGTGAAGCACAGCCTGTGCCAGGTGCCATGTGGCAGAGCAACCAGCGTGCCACCTCCTCCCTGCCCTGACTGGTGTGAGGGGCTGAGYGAGGGGCTCCCCATGCTGCAGCACTCCACGACACATTTGTTTTGGCAGCCCCTCCAGGAACACAAGGAACACAAACCTCAGGCAAGCCAAGGGGCGAGGGCAAGAGAAGGGCAGAAGCATCCCTTCAGCCTTACCTGGGGCTTAGGTTTGTCTTCTACAGATGAGGAAGTGCAGCCAGAGCTGCCAGGTGTGTGAGCACAGTTTGCATTATTTAGTAGAGATGCATATTTACCATCCTAAGCTTTGTATCTTARCCCCATGACAGAAATAGACGTACAAAAAATCTTTCTGACTGTGGTGAATGTTAACTTAGTTTTTTTTCCTTTGCTAACAGTCGAATACAACAAATACCATTACAAACTATGACATTTYGCCACTTTCTGTTTACTATTTCCATCTCTCGAGTATCCAGAAATGTGTTTAACAGGCAGATGAACCAAACTGAACCCCACACAGCCCAAGGGGAGGATGATGTTAAACCAGCAGTGACTCCCAACTCTGTGCAGTCTCCCTCAGTGGTGGTGGCTGCACTGAGTGCAGTCAGGTGCAGACAAGAGTRGAGGAGTTGTCTGAACCCAGTGAAGCCAGCCAGACACCTTTAGTGGGCTCTGGCTGAGCTGCAGTGCAGCAGCTGAGCTCTGCATTAGGAGCAGCCTTTTGGTTTTGCTCTACTACTAAGAAAAAGACAATCCATTAGAGTTAGCGTTGCGGCTCTTCCTTATTCTCAAAGGATATATGTAGTTTTTTTAAGAGAAAATGAATCATGTGGTGGCATCTGCRTTTTTGCTTATTGATGCCAGCCCCATGCATGAGCTTTCCAGCCCCCACCCTGGAGGAGCTGTGTAGCTGGTCCACATCAGGATGCTGTGCAGGTCTTTCAGTGCTCSTACAGGTGGGATATGATCAGGGAGGGAGATGGAACCCAACAGTCTCTTGTACCTACACCCCTATTTGTACTAAAGCCATGCGATCTCACCCTCCATATCCTCCTCCTGCTAAGAAGGGAACAAAATCTGATGTATTGAAGATGGGATTTGTCTGGTCTGTTGTTTGGGGTTTTTTGCCTCAGCCTATGTTGTAAAACCAACCYTACATTATCAAACTCTCATATTAAGCCATTCCTTCCTTATAGGAATGAAGCAAGGGAAGTGGAAAGGTTACACTTTATTTTAATAAAAATTAAAAGCTTTGTTGCTGTWTTTGTCTGGTGATTTGGGTGCGGGGGTGGTGTTTCGCCGCGCTGATGTGAAGCAACGTGTGTTACCTGCTGCTGAGCACTGGAGATGGAGGCACAAAGCTGAGCCCCCCTACCCCACAGGATGCACCTGGGTCTGCAGAGCCCTGCCTGTATGGAACTGCAACCAAACCAAACTCCGGTGCCCATGCCAGGGCACTGCTCATCCTTCACGGCCCAGCAGAACCAGGAACACATCCACTCCTTGTGCCAGAGAGGAGGCGAAGGGCTGGTGGYTGGTGCCTGGGCTGACTCAGACTCCTGGAAAAGCAATGCCAGCACTGGGGTGCTGTGACTCATGAAAGGTTTTAATTTTATTGATTTTTTATTCCTGRTGCAGGCATTTCTCTCATTAACGCTTATTAAGGTCCGACATCAGGGATAGGGCTTTGCAGCTGGCTGGTTGCAAACMAGCAAAGGGAGAGAGTGGTGGGGGAGAGCATGGCATGGTGCTGAGGGGCAGCACTGCGTTTTCTGGTGGCATTCAGGTGCTTGGTCTTAAGGTGTGTGTTGGTTTTGCTTGGCCTGGTTTTTGGTAGCAGGGGGGGCACAAAGATRGCTCCTGTGAGAAGCTGCTGGAAGCTTCCCCCATGACCAGCAAAGCCAGTCTCTGATGGCTCTGAAGATGGACGTGCTGCTGGCCAAGGCTGGGCCAGTTTGAGATACTGGTTATGCCTCTGTGATAACACATTTAAGAAGAAAATCAAAGGGGCATGGAATTTTCTTTAGGCAGAGGAGGAGGTAAGAATATGTGAGGGAAACATGGGGATGCCAAGGTCAGTGGAGAAGGAGGGSGTGAGGTGCTCCAGGTGCCAGAGCTGAGATTCCTCTGCAGGCCCTGGTGTGACCATGGTGGAGCAGCTGTGCCCCTGCAGCCCATGGGGTCCATGGGGAATGCAGAGATCCACCCACAGCCCGTGAGGGAGGTGCCCACGCTGGAGCGTGTGGATGCCTGGAGGAGCCTGTGCCCAGTGGGAGACACATGGACAGAGATGACCCTGCTTCCAGGCTGGAGCAGCCTGTCCTTGGAGGACTGCACCCTGTGGATGAGTGACCCACATCAGTTTTRCCCCAGCAGTTTTGGGAGGATTGTCKGCCTGTGGGAGGAAGTCATTATGGCGGTTTTGGGAGAACTGCCACTCATGAGACTGGACCCATGTTGGAGARGTTCAYGGAGAACTGACTCCCATGGGAGKGACCCCACGGTGAAAAAGGGGAAGGACTCCTCTCCCTGAGCAGCGGAGCGTACTGACCAAATCCCCCAGGCCCTGTTCCYTGTGCTGTCGGTGGGAAGGAGGGAGGGCTTRGGGGAAGAAAGGGTGTCTTAAGGGCTTATTTTTACTTCTCATTATTCTCGTCTGTCAGCAATAAATTCACTTTGCAGCTCCAAGYTGAGCCTGTTTTGCCCTTGGAGCATTTCCTTCTGATTCCTTATCTTGACTCATGAACCTTTGTTAATTTTTTTCCCTCTCCTCTGYGCTGCAGTGGCAGGGGAGAGGGAGTGGGCCGCTGCTGTGGGTGCCTGGCATTTGGCCAGGATCAAAYYACRACAGACTCACTAGGTGAACTCACGTTTGCTTCTCATGGTGCTTTGGTTCACGCACAGCAGGTGTGTTTTATGCTCCACCTCCAATGGGAATGAAGTGACCATGGCTGGGTGACCATGCTTGTGACCATGCTTCATGGAGGGTGCAGAATGCACCTCCTCAGAGCAGTGAAGCCCACAAACTGTCAGCACCCTTACCTTACTGCTAGAAAAGCCATGTTGGAGTAGAGATCCCTGCAGAACAAAGAATTCTAGCAAATAACCATGAATCAATGCTGCTTTTGGCCTTGCAGCATGAAAAAAACCAGCACTGGGACAATAAACTGCAGCTCTGCAGCAGTGTGGAAAAACAGACTGATGACACACACCATATTATTGCTGYTCTCAATCAAGTTCCTATTGTCCTACAATAGCAACTTCTTTGTATTTTCCACAAGGCTCATAATTAATTCCAGCACGCACAGAGTTTTAATAAAGTGACAAAACCCACTCATTATGTCTCCTAGTCAAAGCCTGGCTTTTAATAAAGTTTCATCTATTGGGATGACAGACGAGGAAACAAATATAAACCAGAAGGCTTTWAAATAAATTATTTTTGGAAGCTGTATAAAGTTTTGATGCACACATTGCCAGACAAAAGATACTCAGAGGACAGTGAGTTTCACCCAGGGCAGCTGTTGTTATGGGTGATGTTTATTACTTTTGATCAGCTRCTGGAGAATGTTGGTTTTGTTGTGTATGGTGGCTGGTTTTCTTTGACATAGCACGCAGATGATTTTAAGGCCATTTATCTCTAACTACAATAAATGCCACACCAGTGCCAGCGGGTAGTTATACCTGTTTCTTTGAACAACTTAGTGCTTCRCAATTGTAGCACTCTAGTTTTGCCTCAAGGAAAAAGAAAAAAAGGCAAAAATACTCCTCTCTCTCATGTGAAACAAAGATCAAAACACGTGAGCAAAGCCACCTCTTCTACATGTCCACCTTGGTGGCAGCATGCACAAATGTGGACATACAAAGTCTAGCAGCTGGCAGCAATAGCCRTATGAAAACCATGACTTAGGAGAGTTAAAGATGTGTTACTGGGTAAAGGGGCAGAGTTAAAGGGAATGGCACAAAGTCAACACAACTTTGGCTCATACAGCGCATGTGCACAGCTACCTCCTACCTCACAGCAGCCTCAGTAAAGAAAAAGCAGTAATGATAAGAAAAACGTGACACTGGTGTGGTCTCCTCAGCTATAAGCCAGAGGCTGCTGTCCCACGCTTCTGAGGCCAGAATGGGAACAGGCTGTAGCAGTCTCCCACCAGATGCTTCAGGGGGCAAAGCATCCTTGGCTTTCCCTGGCACCTACAAGCCTTAGAGGAGTGTGMAGCCTCGGCATGGAAGACAACAGAGGCAGTTGGAAGGGCTGATGGGTCAAKAAATCCAACAGGGTTCTGTTGGCCCATGTGAGGCTGAGCATAGCTCCTCAGTCTCCCAGCCTGCACCTACATCAGCCAAATGCATTTATGCCAGGACATGGAAGGGCAGGATGGGAGCCAAAAATGCTGTATTTGCTGTCAGTGCATTTTCAGATGCTGACATCCACTTGGGACTGGCTGCTTTACAAGGCTGTTTACAGGAAGACCCCTCCTCCAGGGTGAGCTTCACATTGTGTTCTAGTCCCCGTCTCTTATTTACTGCTGTTGGCACAGGTATCCAGGAAGTGTTTATTTACTGGCACATTGTTGACTTACACATTGATGTCTTCATTCTTACAGGAAGTCTCCAACAATGCTAAATTGTCAGTCAGGTMCTCGAACCCTGCTTGGCTCTCAAACCTAAGCTAAGGATCACAACCAAATGTAACAAACAGAACCCGTGGGCCAACTTGTGCTGTAATACCCAGTGCTCAATATGAGCTTTATTTTATGTCTCAAAATGTTTTCAATTGCACCTAACTGCATGCAACCCAAACATCCAACCATGATGTTTCTCCCCCTATGGAGCTGCAGAGCAGACCACTGCCTGCCAAGCACAGCAGGGGGAGAGATGTGCCCTGAGGGAGGCCTGGGGCAGCGCTGCACCAGCCAGCAGCACACGGGCCAGGCTATGGCCCGGCTGCTGCTGCAGCACCCAGAGATGGGGTTCCCCATTGTTTCCTTTACGGCCAGCCCCAGCATCGGCGTCCCCCCAGTGAAGACAAGCGGCAGCCAGCACTGTCTGGGAGAGAAGSGGCAGCCACTTCGAGTGATAAGCAGGCTTGGCTGCTGTGAGAACTGCCTGAGGCAGCACTGCCAGCAGACCAACACAGGAGGCAGGRCTTACTCCCCGTCACATTCCTCCTCCTTTGCCCCCCACTTCRCTGATTTACCCACCTTTACCATTCAGGTTTTGGTTTTCCTTCTTTCACTTCCCTTCAGCCCTACATTTGAGCAAGCTCAGTCTCTCTCACCGCTCTCCTCCTGCCCTTCCCCACCCTCTCTCTTGTGTCTCCAGCCCTCTCTCCTCCACAGCTGCCCTTCTTCAGCTCCCATAGCCACTGCACACAGCAACAGCAAACCACCTCCCTGTGCCAGAGCAGCCCCACATCCTGGATCAGCAGCCTGGCAGGATCCAGGAGGTGCACAGCAGCTGCAAGGCTGCTCCTGACAGTCCTGGCTTGTTTTCCCATCCAGAATGAACAGGGAGGGTGGCCAAGACTCCTCTTGGGGCAGCAGTGGGCTATGGGATGACAGTGTCTTCATCTTCTGTGCAGCAGCTGCCAAGAGCATATCCCTCATCTACAYCCCATCTTCAACCTCATTCTGCAGTTTGCATGAAACAGGGTTTTTTAAAAGCAATGTAATAATCTGTTAGCGATTTGTTTTTTACTGTGAGCGTTGCAAACACAAGTTACATGGTCATGAGYGTTAAATTTACCCTAGTATGTATGGAAGAGCAGGGGACAGAAATCCAGAATCCCTGTTGTGCATCATGGCTTCAGGACAATTTATGCCGTGTGCTTACCCACTCCTCAGAGGGAAAAAGCTTAATTATTCCTATCAACAATGCTCCGAAACAAGATGAGTTACAGTATGAGTTAAGAAGCACACATTTTGTACCTAAACAAAACAAAGCAACACTGCAATTTATATATAATAGGTAACTTTTATTTAAAAAAAACATTGCAACTGACAGAAAAAATAAAGTCCATGAAATGTGCCATACATTCAAAGAGATGCATTTAAAGTAATCAATTTCTTATCCTCTGAGGTGAGCAYTGAAACAGATACTTCCTGACAATTAGAGAACAAAAGAGAAGTTCTGTAACACTTTGTCCCTAAAGTACTTGCAAAAAGTTCTAGAGTCCCTGGCCAAGAGTCCTACTTGCTAAATGCYACACATACAG